TTCAACAGACTTTTTTTCTATCACTTGTAAATCACACTTGGCTAGCTCACGAAGTTCCTCTCAAAGCTGAGACTATTAATAATGGTCTGCAACACACCCGCCCTATTCACAGGATCATATGTGTGGATGAAAGTACAAAATCCCACCTCAGGAGTTTAATCTGCACAGCATTTCTTACTTTGGGGGAAAAGAGTGTAATGCAAGGTCTACAGAAATCCAGCATTAAAATGATACTTAAAAGATCAGTTACCCATTCCGCAAGGGAAGGTCAAAATATTTATGTGCCTCCCTAAGTCCCCTGAATTTAATTACCTCACAAATTCACTTTAGTGTCAAACTGTTCTCCAGTCCTAAACCTTAGTTTCTGGATTTGCATACCTATGGGTAAGGTATTTACAAGAAAAACTTTTAAGACCCAATGAAGTGAAAAAATTCTAACCACTACATTGCCCACAAAGGTAGAAAACGAGCTCATTTTAAGTAAAAATACCATGATCATCATCCAGCCAAGTTCCATGACGGCAGGGCTGAATTTGCTTCACCACCATATTCCTCACACCAAAAATGGTATTGGGCACATAGTAGGTGCTCAGTAAATAGTGTTAAATGAAGGACCCTTGACAGATCCAGCTGAAAAAAAGAGGAAATGACGAAGAACTTATTGAGCCAAGAACTGTTCTTCAATGCCTAGTGTGATCATTGTCATTTAAAAATGAAATCAATCAAGTATACACATGAAAAGTTGACTATACATAGGTATATATAAATGTTGCTATGAGTTCTGAAGATAAGAATTCACTGACCTTTCCAATGTGAAAAAGAAAATGTACCCACGTGTGAATGAATTTAACATAATAAAGATAAGGGAAGGAATATTTACATACAAAACATTCCTCAATTCACATGGAGTAATTCAGTAAAACACAGTATCAACTGAAATCTTATCTGATTCCAGAGCATGTACCCTAAGTGTGAGGTTTTTTATTGCACTTGCTACCCATGAGTCAATCACCAACTCACGCAGAAAAACTGGTAACCGAATAAATGTAGTAGGGTCTTTTTTTTTTTCTGGGTTGGGATTTTCCCCTATGTGTAGTAACTTCTGAAAACAGTTTACATCATAGTGTTCAGCCTAATTTTTTGTCAGACTAATGCCATCCACGCAGTACAAATGTGTACTAGCAAACAGGCTCAAAGTTCAATCAAAAAACATAAAAGGAAACCCATCCCACACAAACGCCTCATGCCCTGCCTGCACCCTGCAGGTTCACCATTTTCATGATGCAGCCTGCTGTCCAGAAACCCACACAGGAATGAAAAGAGTTATAATATGAAACTAGCAATCCAGACAAGGCCGGCTGCCATGCGCTGACCTGTGTGCCTGGCTCCTATCGGTCTGCATCTTACCTGTGCTATTGCTCTTAGTCCTGACAACCAAGTGGAGAGGAAAGGGTTATTCCTACTGCTTTCCCCATTTGCAGATGGGGGAACACAGGTTGAAGGAGATCAGAGATCATGTCTTTGTAGGAGCCGTGACTTAAACATGGTCTCGAGACCTTAGGAACTAGGACAGCACAACTTCTTGGACTTTTATTTGCTTTACCTGACCAGCTTCTGACAAAAGTTCATGCACCGTTTTCCAAAAATAATTTTAACACTAATCAAATGTATACTCAATATAATACCTTTCCTTTCAAAAGAGGGAAAATTTATGACAACTTTCCAAAGGAAGGAAAATAAATGGTCCACCTTGCCCATAAACATGGTAACTTAGTAAAACTCTGACCCAGTTTCAGCTGTGCTGTATACTGCTCTTCAGATACCATTGTTTCTAAAATAATACCCTGGTGTTCAGGGTTTAAAAAAAAAAAAAAAATGCAACCTACAAGAGAATGTCATCTGATTCAATGTGTTAGCCCCAAACCCCATCAGAGCAAGTCAAAAGGTGCTTCATCGACAGTCTAAGAACGATTGCAAGAATCTTTCCACCACCTGAGAGTTCAACAGAGAAGCGAGCTCCACATCAAATGACACAGGTGTCCTGCCTCCTCCCCTAAGCCAAGTCCTCGCCTGGGACCCTGGACTTGCAGAAGATGACGATTTTAAATTTTTTTGAATTCTGCAGACCAGTTATTAAGTACAGCCATTACTGAAAATGAAACTTAAAATTTTAAAAATCATATTAAAAGCAAAGGTGATAACCACTCAAAGCTCATCACTTCCTAATTGGTTTACTTCGTTTTACTACTAACTCTGTGGTCTACGAGGCAGTGGAAATACTGCACAGTGGTGGGCTCTAACACATCTCCCCCCAACACCATGGTCAAGGGTGTCACATCTGTAGCCTGAAATGAGCCACGGTAGGAGTATTTATAGGAAATCAGCAAATGCAGCATTCCCCTGGTATTCCTAATTCATCTGACCATCCCTTTCTGCTGCCATGTCTTCCATCTCTCCTCTCTACAATTTGTCAAATAGAATGACAAGGCTTACAACAAGAACTTACCCACATGCACACACATCCATCAAATTTAAAATAAGAATGAAAACAAAAACCTAACACACCTCCAGATAACATCCTTTTCCACCATTCCTTCATTTATTTAAAAGATTTATTTATTTGAGAGTGAGTGGGCAAGCCCATTTAAAAGATTGATTTATTAATTTGAGAGTAAGCGAGCGAGGGAGAGGGAGAATCCTGAAGCAGACTCCCCACCAAGTGTGGAGCCCAACACAGGGATTGATTTCTTGGCCCTGAGATCATGACCCTGAAACTGAAGCCAGGAATCAGACACTTAATCGACTGAACCACCCAGGCACCCCTCCAGCATTCCTTAATTGTCAAATTTACTGAAAATGTTCTTTCTGTGATTAATTCCAACACTTTCTTCCCATCAATTCATTAATTTAGTCATTTCACAAATATCTGAGCAACTACGATTAGCCAGTAACCGGGGATATGAATGTGAGTAAAGTCTAATATGGTCCTTTCTTCATGAGAGTCACATGTTGAAGCCACCTTGAAAGTCTCCAATATTCTATTAATTGCTCTTCTTTCTCCTCCTTGGCCTGTCTTTCTTTCTGTCTTTTTTTTTTTTTTTTTTTTTTTTTTAAGATTTCACTTATTTGAAAGAGAGAGAATGAGAGAGGGAGATTCAGAGGGAGAAGCAGACTCCCCGCTGAACAGGGAGCCCAATGCAGGACTCGATCCTGAGACTCCAGGATCATGACCTGAGTCAAAGGCAGTCCCTTAACCAACTGAGCCACCCAGGTGCCCTTCCTCCTTGGCCTTTCTTTAAAAATTTACCATTTCCCTAAAATTCTCTTCTTTTCCTCCATGGTCCTCCATAAAAAAATCAAGATTTCCCCAATGACATAGGACTCTCTCTTATCTCGCTTTTTCCTTCCACAGGAATTTCATACATTTCTTTGATTTCATCCTCCTCCAACTGTCAGAAAACCTACTCTCCCCTAGCCTTTCCATCTCAGTAACTGGTACCACCATCCACCCAACTGTTGAAGCCAGAAACCCCCAAATCCTCATTTCCTGCCTTTCCCTTACTCTTCTTACCTCTCCCCTTCATCCCAAGCATCAGCAAGTCCTGCAGGACCTATATCCAAAAGATGTCCCAAATCCAACACAGTCCTTGTCACCCTTGGCCAAGACCTTGTTTGTTCATGCAGTCTGTATAAAAGTCTCCAAACCCTCCTCTGCTTTATTCTTGCCCTCTTATATCAAGCACTACAAAGAAGCCAGTGAACATTTTAAAAAAGAAATGTGATCATTTCTCTCCACTCTTAAAACAAACAAGAAACCTCTAAAGTCTTCCTTCTCCACCCAGAATAAAATCCAAACTTAATTTTATGGCCAAAAGGGCCCTTCATTATCTGGGCCTGGCCACTCCCTGACCTCACCTCTTCCAGCTCCCACTTGCTCATTAGCTCACGTCTGGAACCTTCTGCCCAGATCTTGGCAGGTCTTTGCAGGACTAGCTCCTCCTGTCATTACAAGGATTCCGGAGGCCTTCCCTGACCAACCAACCCCAATTTGGCCAGGCCAGGCCCGCCCACCACTCTCTATCACACCGTTCATTCCTCGCTGGTAATTTAGAGTCTGTCGTCTTCTACTGGAAAGGAAGCTACACAAGAGTTCAGACCTTGTCCTCCTTATTTACCAGGACATCCCTGATGCCTAGAACAGTGCCTGACACTTGACAGATGTTCAGTAGCTATGTTGATGAGTGAACAAATGAATGAATAAATGAAGCAAAATCCAAAAACACAGACGAAAGTGGGAATAACTGGAAACCAAGACCCTGAAATGAGAGTTTTCTGGGACCACACAGAGGAATAAGAACTGGAATCTGAAGTGGTAAAATGTTAACAGGATGAATCTCGTTTCCATCTTTATTAAATTCTGACTTGCCCGTGGTTCGAACTATTTTAGACACAACCTAATTTAGTGAGGGGACCTGTTCTGATGAATCTTTGTTAATTTTCATTGCTGGGTCAAAATATTTTTTAAAAGAAAACTGCATGTTTTAGAAAAGCTTGTGCTGTACCCCCAAAAACACTTCTGAGAAGCAGAGTCCCTAGGCTTTCTCCCATAGTTGTGCTATAATAAACTCCTGTCATACCCAGAGAGTGGGGCGGAGGAGGGAGCAAGGGAACTTAGTGTGCGCGCGCTCCTCCCCCACACTCCCAGGGTGCCTGCTCTGCCATGCAAGGCTTTTCCCCAGGGACACAGTCAAGTGTGTCCCACCCGGTGCTTCCAAATCAAGGCCCAGAGTGGGGCAGCTACTTGCTGCTTCCAGTGACTCCTGTCTTACCTCATCTAATATAGGGAAAGAGAAGAATGAAGAAGAGGAGGAGGGAGGGAAAGGAGGAGAGAGAGGGGGGAGTCATGAAACACTCACTGGGTACTTTACTTCTCCTGCCCAACCCTGCTACACCAGGTGGTGCTAGAACGTGAAAATGGCCCTGGGGAGCCGCGTCAGTACCTCATCATGGACCACACGGCTCGAGGAGACACTGGGAATCCACTGCTCTTGGGTTCTGGCAGCGATGGGGAGTGGCAGCCACCCCAAGCTCCTCGGTGAGGAAATCGCTGTTGCTTCCCATTCTCCCGGTGAGGGTGCACAGGCAGCGAGGAGGGCTGAGGGCTCGCAGGCTGCTGTGGGCTGCGCTGATGGATGACCCCATTGCTTCTAATTGTGTACGTGGCAGTGAGGGGAGAGAAAGTCAAACAGAATGACAATGCTTGCAACAAGAAGTAACAGTCCCCTGACCCACTCCCAAGTCCCGTTCCCTGGAAGCAATCATCCTCAAGACTTTTAGGTTTTTTGTTTCCGGTATATATCACAAGGTTTTAAAAAGAACACAACTATAACATTGTTTTTTTAAATTTTAGAACTTAGGTTTACTTACTACTATAGAATACTAGGTTTCAGTCTCTCTTACACGGTTGCCAACACACACATACACATGCAAACACACACACACACACACGCACACACACACACTCACACACCCTCTTCTTTACCCCTCATCCTCCAGATAGATTTCTTTCAATATATTTGGTTGAAGTGGTATTCAGGATTTACATAATTATGATCTTGTAAAATATCATTCATAGCTGATCCATCCAATGTACATTGGTTATATTTTCTTTCATGAATCCCCTGAAATAGAATTCATAACCATCAAATGGAAAAAAATTAAAACGTCTGACACTACCAAGTGAGGCCCAAAATGTGGAGCAAAGCCAAGGGGATTCTCAGACATTGCTGCAATTGTTTCAAGAGCAATGCTTTAGTAGAGGACGCGGCAAACATGCGTCTATCTGTGGTTCCAGTAACTCCCCTTCTATGCCTAAGAGAAACCCACATGTATTTGCGTGTGCACACACACAAACATACACACACAAATCCATTGCAGCATAGTTTACAATAGCAAAAATGGTGCAAATAACCTAAATTCCAAATCCAGAAAAGCAGATAAATAAATTGTGCTATTTAAATACTGTACAACAATTAAACCGAACGTACTAGAGCTACACATACCCACGATGTACCTCAAAGTCCTAATGTTAAATGAAAAGCAAGTGATACTACTGACTTAAAGTTTGAAAATATGTTAAAAATACACTATTTGATACTCATTGGTATATGCCTATTAAGTAATGGCATATAAATAATCGTAGAAATGGAAAGTGACGAATGCAGGATGGTGATTACTCTCAGAGAAAGAGGTTAGGGACTGGAGTCAGGGAATGTTATTCTCTGCATGTTGGAAATGATATCCAAATTCTTAGAAAAGAAATAAAAGTACAAAGAAACTTAACTCTCAGGAGCTGATCTTTCACTGAAAATATTTCTTCCTAACAGTGATGTCAAATCAAAGAAATCCCACTCCATTCATGTGACCCAATCTTAAAATTTAGGAATAAATTGTCCTTCACGTAGAAGGGCTTCCAACATTCGTTTCTGTTACTATTTTTTTCTTGCTGCCTGAATCGTATGATAAAAGACCTCGAGAACAACTTAACACCAAGATGTTTATTCTAAATGAACAGATAAAGTGGAAAGACAGCCCTAAGAGTTTGCGCAAAACTGCATATGTATACATTATACTGGGAAAAGGGGACACAATTCCGTGAGATTTTCAAAAGGGTCATGACCCCCGTTACACTCAGGACGTATGAGCTGATCTCATGGTACAAATATGAGCCCAGGCCTTGGGCAGCAGATGTCCTAGAGGAGGTCTCTAGGTCCCTGCTCTGTGTTCTGTCCACAGAAGCAAAGGTACTCAGGGGCAAGCCCGTGGCTCCCGGAGTCACACAGACAGGGATCCAAATCCTGGCTCCCCCTGGGATTCAGTGACTCTGGAGAGGTCACTTCCTATGATTCTGTTTTCTCCTCTACTAAACGAGGCTAACAGTTATTCTGAGCATTAAGTGACTTCATGCCTATAAATGGTGTGGCACAGTGCCTGGCATGTGGCCAGGACTCAGGAGATCTTAACCGTTATTGGCCAGGTCTCTGGTACATGCTCTCTGTTCTGACTGCTGTGCGCAACTATAATCAGTTTCTCGTGTGATTACTCATACGACGTCTGTCTCCCCCCACTATTTGTATGCCCCTGGAGGGTAGAAATCTCTCTCGTTCTTGGCCAGGCACAGAATGGGTATGTGTTGAATGGGTGGACAAAAGGATGAAGGAAAGAACGAATGTCTCCCCTTAAGCAGAGCCACTGCTTCTGAGAGCCAAAAGTGACCAAAAAACGAAGCAGGGACTATAAGCTGTGCAACTTCTGAGCAACATATCAGCGGTATGATTGCCACTCCACCACCACCCCCCCCCACGAACTTCCAGTGGTTTAGTATTCCAAAGGTCAGGAACAATTCTTAAAGAAATAATAGGGACAATTATCCCGTCTGAAAAAAGCCTGGCTCAACAGTGACCAGATGAAGCAGAGAGCAGTACAGAGGCAACAGTGGGCTGCAGAGTCCCAAGACCAGGGCAGACATGACTTCAAGGATGAGGTTCACATGGCTCTGGACTGGACCACAGGGGAGGCTCTGCAGTCAGTCGTCACATCCTCCTGCCGTCAGCAAGGCAAAGCAGAAAGGGCTCAGGACTCAGCTACAGAGGAGGCGAGAAGGAAGTGTGAACAGGACAGGTTGCTAGGTCATTCTGCAAAAAGTAAGGCCAGCATCGCCATCCCTCCTATTGGCTGAGAAGATAGAGAGGCAAGGCATTCTCACGGAAGCCAAGGGGAGGTCCTCTGGCTCACAGCTTTCTTGGCATGAACTTAGGTCAAAATGATAACTGAGCTCCTTCCTTTTACACGCCTCTGAGATTTACAGAGAGCCAATAGAGCACTAAAGTCTATTTAAATTATCTCTAAGCACACCCAGGCAGGAAGGTGATCAGAATTTAATGACTCATCTCAGCTTGTTGCCACTCAATAACACTGCTCTTATCTTTATGTCAAGGAGTATAAAGAGCTAGGGAATGGAATAGAAAGGCAGGATTTTTTTCTTTTTAAGCTAAAATTCTTCATGGGATGAAGCAGAAGAATAAATCAACCACGTTTTTTAAAATTTCAAAAGTAAGGGCCTTATAATTACTGAAAAATGGGGTCTGCATGGCAAATTGTTAGTAATTATAGAGTTGACAGAGGGAGAAAAATATAGTATGTGCTTCAACTTTTAATATGACATAGCATTCTTGCCATCTATAGTCCACAGGATATAATGAATGTGCTTAAACTTGTTAAGTGAAAACAAACTACTAAATAAACTTGACCTTTAATTTGAATATAACATGTGAGTACTCCTGTATGGTGTAGACTGGCCTTTTGTGGAATTCCAAAACAAGACATCAAAAACTCCTAGGTAACAGCATCACCCATAGAACAAGTAACCAGACTCAACTTAGCAGTGTTTTTTCATCTGAATGCAGGGATTCAAGGCAAGCTGTTAAGAAACAGTTACCATTTGCAACCACTCCTCTCTATGAGTAGGATTTCTCAATAGTATGCAACCAAAACAATCTAGCAACATAAACATAAACATAACCATAAACATAAAATAGATACTTTCCAATTCCAAATTTGAGGCTCACAAAATCCTTATAGCCCTCATTGATTTTTACAAAGTGTGAGGAGTTTGAACATACCTAATGCATTTATCTTAATAAAACAAACCTTATTAATTTATAGTGTAAGATGAGGTTACGTTTAACAAAATGTTATACTTTTTTTTCTTAACTGAAAGTTTGAAAGCTATTGATTTAAGTAATTCTCTGCACATGCACTGCTTGGTATGAAAACTTTAAAATGACTTACAATTTCTCTTGCTTATGGGACAGGGAAAAGAGATCGTAAACCAAGCACACTCCAAACACCGTGATGCCTGTCTCTTTGACCAGCATCGCGCAGGTCCCCAGAAACAAACTGAGCAGCAAGAAGAATGGAGAAGTGGTGGGAGGGAAACATTCCCCAACATGATGCTGGTCCACACTCCTGGAAAACAAGATCAAGACTCTTAATCTAAGAAGAAATGTGGGTCACTGAGAAATCAACTCTTAAAAAAAAGATTTAACAATCAATTTCACTATATTCTAAGTAAGCAGGTGAAAAAAGATTTCTTCACAAATATTCATCACAGAATTATTTAAAATCACAAACATGAAAAAGAGCGAATGCCCAACAACACTGAACTTGGTTACTTAAATTAAGGTGCATATAAATTACGGTAAAATATGGCATATAATAAATGGAACACTAAAAAACCACTTAAAATGCTACCATACAGATATAGTTAGTGGCATGAAGGATGTTTAAGTGAATATATTTTAAGTGAATAATACAGATTACTAAGCCATATGCATCAACTCTGGCCCAGGTTCCCTGGGTTCCAATCACAGCTTTGCAGCTAACTAACTGGGTATTATGGGGCAGGTTACTCTGCCTCTCTGTGCCTCAGTTCCCTCCTGTATGAAACAGGATCCCCGTGTTGTAGGCAGAATTAAATAAATGACTTAGTACACGCAAAGTGGTTATCCTCATTATTACTACTTTGGTGAAGGTGTTTTATATGCTTCTGTACATAAATCAGTCAGTGGACACAGGTATGTATACCAAAATACAATCCTCATTTTTCTCTGCGATGAAAATACAGATGTTTTGGGCTTTTTCTTTTCTTCTGGTTAACTGATATTTTAAAATTTATTTTCCAAGGGGATGTATTGGGTAATTTTTTTTTCCTCAGTATAATTTCCAGCAGGGATTTTCAAAAGGCCTTTTTTCACCTTACAACACAGAATCAGCCAACACCAAAAAACATCACTGTTCCTTCAGGAGGTGCCACACCCATCACCCCTACTCCTCCAAAGTAAAGGCCAATATTTCTGTAGTTAGGACACCTTAGCTGTATTCTTATGTCTTGGAACAATGACCTAAAATTACATGCCAAATGTGTGGTGGACATGCATTTTTCTCTGAAGCTAATCTATAGCTTCAGGTGCTAAGACTGTGAATGGCAGGCACAGCAGAAACTGTAATCCCGAGGCTCATCAGCACACAGAGATAGATGGACATGATGCTGGCCTCCCCATGTTCCCGAATGTACCATCCACACAGAGAAGGCCCCAGAGACTAAGTTTAAACTAAAAGGCAATTGTTAATCTTGTTCTAATACCAGAGTACACAGGAAAGAAGTAATTGGTACATCTGGGTTTCTTTTTTTAAGATTTTCCACACCACCATTTCAGATGACTGGCGATGTAGTGTTAAGTCACAAAGCCAGGCCCTGGAGACTAGTACTAGATAGGCACCCCCCACTTTTCACAAGTGCATGTTACGGCCCACTTCACTTTAATGAAAGACCTACATGAGTACCTATTTTCCCTAACAGGAAGAAATCCAAAGAGGATTTTTGCTTTTACAAAAGAAGGTGAAAAGCAAAAACAGTGTTCCGTTCAGGAGCGTTAGAGAGGCGCTGGACAAACAGCAAAGCGGCCAGGCCAATCAGCTCCATCCCCAGAGCCACACTCAGGGCCGCAGCATCGGGCTGTGTCTGTGAGCACCTGTGCTTTATCTCCATTTACTCTGTGCATCCATTAGCGGGATGTGTCCTGAGGTGTCAGAAATCGCCCAAGAGAAGTTGTTTTTTGTGGTCTGGGAATGCCCCCAATTTTTCCATATCAATTAATAGCTATTGATTGTTCTTCAACTTGAGGCCATTTTAGCTTACAAGAGGTGTTCACAGAAACGCTCTACTCTCAGGTAGTGGGGGAAACCTGTACCAAGAAAACGCTCCACTTGTTAAGCCAAAATTTCGGAAGAATTAATTCATTCTTGGTCATCCAAGATCTAAACTGGTTTATAACAGGGTTTCTCAGTCTGCGGACTACTGGCATTTTGGGGAAAATGACCTTTTGTTGTAAGGGTTGTCCTGCACATTGTAGGACCCTTGGCCTCTACTTACCGAGCACTGGTAGCACCTTTCTACTTAATGACATCCAAAGTGTCTCCAGACACTGCCAGATGTCCGCAGGGGAAGAGCACAACTGCCCCACATGGAGAAACACTTGTTCAGAATTTTGCTGCTCAGGGCCACTGGGCTCTCAAAGATGGCAGGCCAATGAACTCATTCAAAGATCAACATTCACAAATCCCTAACCAGCCATCCCTCTGTGAAATACGGTGACATGACTCACTGGCCCCTTTTTTCTGGGCCAACCCCTGTGCCATCAGCCCCATTCTCATTTACTTTTTGACCTGCCCCTTTCCCTGTGTGGATACGTCACAAATCAAGTGAGAATCTGAGCACTGTGCGGAGTAAGGGCAATATAATGGTAAATTATTTTATTGCTTTTCCACATTCCAAAGCAAGGAACTTAATGTATTGTGATGAAAGGATGTGTAAATTTGAAAACTACAGATGAAAAACACTACCTCCAATTCAGCCTTGTTATTTTAAGCTCTGAGCTACTTTAGTGAGGATAATAAAGAGGAAACAGAATTAGGACCAAAATGAAATGGAGGAATTAAACAAATCACGGCCAAATAAAAGAGAGGACTACACCCAATATTTATTGGCCTGGAGCTTTCAAATTCCATTCTCAGTAAGAAATGACAAGTAAGAATAATCAAGAAGCAAGAGCTTCCCAGCACTGGGAGAGCAGTTCCTTTCAAAGGCTACTGCAAGGTTCAGAATGTGGCTGGAAGAGCTAGCAGCGCCGCATTTCCTAAGGGGGGTGGGGGGTTCTATTCTGGTCTCCACAAAGCTCTCTCGGCATTTTGCTGCTAAGAAGCTTCCCTCCTTTCTCAGATAGATGCTCAAAGTCCACACACACACACACACACACACACACACACACACACACACACACGAGACAGAAATTCCCGAGGGGAGAGCGTGATTGTCACCACAGAGAAGGGCATTCTTAGCCATACATACCTATTGTAGGAGAGAAAGGCCAACAGAAATAGCAGGCATGCTAACACATCAGCTCTGCCAACAATTCCAGCCACCTAGAAAGTTTGAAAAAATAAAGACCTCAGAAAATTGCTTTCAGAAAACTTACAGAAATGCATTCGATTTTAGATGAATGAAAAGTATACAATAAAATAAGAAAACACACTGTTCTTCAAATGTGACGACTTAAGAGTAACCACCTCTGGTTATCATATATATAACAATAAGTTTATAGAAGGAGAAAAAAAGGATAGAAAGGAAAAGAATTTTCATGCTTAATTTCCTTTTTCACCTTTCTCCTATAGAAGGTCAATTTATATCATCAAGGTTTATTCATTTGCTGGTTTATTAAAAAATAATTTTTGAGCAAGGACTGAGGGCCAGACACTGCGCAAGTCTTTGGCATCAGAGTGCTAATGGAGCAGAGGATATTTATAGAGGACCAGGAAAAAATAAGTTTAGGAAACAATAATCCTGGTAAAAAGAGGAATGAGTATGAACTCATGACTGCCATGTGAGCACATGTGCTTGCATGTCTGTGTGTGTGTGTGTGTGTGTGTGTCTTAGTTCTGTCACAGAAAGAACCTAAAAACAAGATAGCCCAGTAGCAAAGAGCCATCCTGACACAGACCACAAACCATTCCTCCACTAAAGAGTACGTGGGCTTCCTGGAGAAATGGCTGGTTCCAGGGCTGAGGCGAAGGAGATACGAGAGGAACTTAGATCATTTTATCATATTAGAAGGTAAGACAGTGTGCGAAAAGTGACAGGTACATATTCAAAAGGACACAGAAGCCAGTGACAAGGGGCTCCTACTGACTGAATATCTGGCCATTTGAACATCAAAATAAATAAGGACAATGATAAAGCAAACCACTGGAAAAAAACAGACATCCATGAGCGTATTCTGATATTGATGAATGGAATAAAGAAAGCACATATAAGTACACACATAAATACAGTAAGCAAGTGAATGGGAGAGAACAGAAAGTTCTTCCTTACATGGAAAAGCTAGTTAATGAATGTGGAGGGAATAGTGCAATTGGCAAATAGCCATTTTGCATCCAAAAGATGCAAGATTTGAATGAGCAGAGAGACATCACAAAATACCAGTGGATATGAAATCTAGAGTGTAAAGGTTTAATAAAGCATGGAGTATTAGTAGGGCTTCCACACACTTCCTTCAAAACAATTACTTGTTAAATAAAAAAGTATAAAGAATAATTATACTATGGGAAAAGCGCTTTACACCTTAACTGGGGAATCAAAGTTGACCTCACCAATAAAGGGCAAATGGATGGGGCATGTCTCTGCATGTCATACCCTGAGAGGGACACAATACCACTTTTGTCAAATCCCAGCCAGGGATACATAACCTGGCTGGGATATAATCGTGAGAAGACATCAGACAAACCCAAGGTAAGGAACACTCTATCAAATACATATATTTCATATTATTAAAGCATAAAATACAATTCTACATTATTATTTTATATCATTAAAATATAAAAATATTTTAATATCTCCTAATTTATATTGTATCATGATTTAGTAGATATAGTATAACTCCTATAATCTAATGTATTATAATACTGCATATATTACAATTACATGCTTACTATACTTACATAATATACCACATATGCATATATTATTATTTTATATATTGTATTTTTATGTTTACATATTTTGATATCATGTATTTACATACAACAATTATACTATTTGTACTTGTACATTATAAAATTTTAATATAAAATATAAATAAATAAGTTTAGAAAATGTAAGTTTTATAAATCATGGGCTACAGATTCTTTAACACATATGTATTATATACAACAACCATTTGAGATGATATTACACACCAATTGCAATGTTACAGTAAGTATCATATAAACCTTTTGTAATATACATATTAAATATGTTTTAATTATATTTAAAGCTTTGAATTATATTATAGAAAGATAATGAAGACTGGTAACTGCTCCAAACTTGAGACTAAAGAGAAACAATGACTAATGGCCTTGGTTTTAGAAAATATACAACTAAATTATTCAGGTGTAAAGAGGCATGAATTATGCAACCCCCTCTCAAATGCTTCAGAATACAAATAATATTTTTATATATTAAGGGGAAAAGAGAGGAAGAATGACAAAACAAATGTGGCAAAATGTTAAAAGTTGATGAATCCGGGTGATGAGTATATATACGGTCATTGTATTTTTGAAATTAAAAAAAAAATTTTAAGGTGTTAATAAAGGGACTGAAGTGGAGGAAGGTAGGGGGTAGACAGCTATTTATAAATCTTTGTGTTAGTCCACTACTACTTAAAATGTGTAAGGATTTCTCTTGTCTTTTTGAAATTCAAGAAATAAAACCGTAGAGGGAAAAAATGGGGTATGGTTCAAAAAATGCTTCCAACGAAGGCCACATACGAGCTGGCTCTTAAAGATGAGTACAAGCTCACAAGGGAAAGGGACAGGGTTGACATCTCAGGCACACAAAGTTGCATCACCCAAACCATCCAGGACCTGAGGTCCACAGTGAATCCACAGAGAATCAATCATAATTAACAGCGGAAAACAGTGTTCTGGGAAATATACCTATAAACACTCTCATACAATGAGCACACTTTGCAGTCAAAAGGTGGGGCGATGACAGGCACCTGGAGCTCGACCATCCAAGGCTGGAATACAGACTCCTTCTCTTGCCATTTAAGTGAGACCCAAACTTGTTATCTTTAATTTCTGGGACTTGCTTTTGTTATCTTTTTTTTTTTTTTTCAGATTTTATTTGTTTATTTGAGAGAGAGTGAGAGAGAGCATGGGGGGGGCAGAGGCAGAGGAAGAAGCAGGCCCCCCCCATGGTTAATGAGATGATAGGTCTGAAGTGTGGGTGTCTTTTCTTCATTTTCCCTGTAGAGAAGGTAGGTGGGACTCTGCGCTGAGACAAGTTTTCTTGCGGGGCTTATAGAAACCATCTTTTTATATTCAAGGCTTATATGTATGATGTTTTAATTTAACTTTATTAGATAAAATATATTAGTTTAAAAGTATAAATAGAAGATAACGTAATTATATACTTGCACAGAGACTGATAGCAAATCACATACTGAGCAAAATCCTAGTCCAGTCCACAACAAGAGAAACCTGGAGATGGCTAAGGAATTTCGCGAGCAGTACAGAGTTAAAAGGTATTAGCTAATGTGGATGTCTGGACCACACACTGTTCATTGATCCATTAATCTATAAGGCGTTTGAGGGCCAAATCAGGAAGACTGCCCGACTCAGGGGAGCTAGGCTGTGACAATATGGTGTCACCTCAGTGTCGAGAACCAGCTCAGACTCACAATCTGTAAAGCAACAAATGCACAAAGTTCACACGGGAGCCCAGATCTGCTCCGTCTACACCACCGCATCTCTGAGCACGGAGCTCAGCATCACCCGCAAGGCCCCTGGAAGGTTAAACAGAGAGCTCGGCTCACTAGCAACAAAGTCTAGGGATAAGGCCACACATCTGGGCCCAGAGGGACACTCATCACAGCACAACCTCTGAGCAGAAGCTCAGAGGGCGTGTTGAAATGTTAGTGCAGACATTAACAGACTCTGTGGCCAGTTCCAAACCACCATACATTCACTGAATATCCCTGTTGAGCTGGGGTCTCTGGGGCAAGGGGGTTAGATGTCTTAAAAACAAGGTGCTTGCCATCAACTACTAAATGTCTAGACCAACCATTCACTTTCACTGTGATTCAGTTAGTCAGTATCATCATGTTCAGTAACTGCATGATTTATTCCACTCCACAAACATTTTCCAAGGGCCTCCTATTTGCCAGGTACTATGCCAGCTGGAGGGATATGACCTAAGCCTCAAGGAGTTTAACACCTGGTGGGGAGTCAAAGCACGGTATTAATATGATACAAGCAAACTGTGTGTATCATAAAGAGGAGAAATCATTGCCATGAGAAGAATGGAGGGACTGATTTTGACTGCAGAAGCTGGAGGCCTTCATGGAAAGGTTGACATTATACACTAAAACCTAAAGGACAAACAAGAATGACTCAGCAAGCTCAAGTCAGGGGATGCAAATCCGGGGCGGAGAAGGACCACAGAAGCATTCTAGGCAGAGGAAAGCACAGTCTGAAAACACATGAGGTGATTCTAGAAGGGAAGGCATTAAGTGATGAGAGCATGGAGTAAGCACATTAGAGGGGACAGGAGTAAACAAATATGGGATGTTCAGTTGGAGGTCCTGGGCTTGATTCTACCAACAAAGGGGGCTGAACTGTAGGATGCTGAGAAGTACAAAGGACTTAGCCAAAAGTACATGCAGATGGATAGCACGGACACTGCCTCAAGCTGCAGGTTTTCCTCACCAAGAAGGTAGTTGTTACCTGGGAACTGAATCCTATAACACATACCCAAATGATGGGAAAAAAATGAGTGAACATCATTGGGCAGAATTCAAACAATCAGATCTAAGTCCGAGCAAGCGTAACAGAAATACCAATTAATTTAATTTGCCCCCAAAACTTTTTCTTTCTTAGCATACCATTCATAGGCTTTATATAAAGTATACCATATGTATCAAGTTATTGATTGTTCTAGCTGCACGAATGAGTCCCATTACTGCCAGAAAGGGCCAGGAAACACACACTTAACATGCAACAGCTGGGGACACTGGGTGGCTCAGTGGGTTAAGCCTCTGCCTTCGGCTCAGGTCATGATCTCAGGATCCTGGGATCCAGCCCCACATCGGGCTCTCTGCTGAGGAGGGAGCCTGCTTCCCCCTCTCTCTCTGCCTGCCTCCCTGCCTACTTGTGATCTCTCTCTGTCAAATTAATAATTAATATCTTTAAAAACAAACAAAGCCAAGCTGACTGATTAGATCATGACTGATTCTCTATTACATGTGCTCTTCATCTTACATGTGTTCTGGAAATGCTGACCTTAGGCTTCAACACCGTGTGTCGTCATTTCCTGCTCTCGCTTTTGACTTGACATAAGTGCCTTCCTTCCAACCAATAATGTTTCTATGATGACTGCTAAGTTTCAATTACCACCAGGGAATTACAATGATTTTCCACGTTTTCCCAATTTCTCTACTTATTTTTCTGATGATTCAGCTCTCCAAAAAAATATACTGTCAGAAAACCCTTTGAAGAATCGCAAGGCCTTCAATGAGGAAAGGTATGGGTCTATCCTAGTCATTGCTAATACCTCCTGCACTTAAATACTTGTTGAAAGATTGAGTAAATAAATGAATTTATTCCTTATACTTAAATTGGAGATAGTTTTTTATTACACAACATACTGCTTTGTCTTGTATGCATTTATGTGTATGTTCTTTGGCTTTTTTAGGAATTTGTGAACAAATTATGGGTAGGGACCCACTACCCACCCACATACCCTCCGGGCACCTAGCAGTGCCTAGACCAAGCAAGAATTCATTTACTATATGTTGATTACATAATTAAGGAAACAAATCCTTAATCACACCAACATGTTGAAACAAAACCCCTCCCTCAAAAAATGTTAATCCTCCATCCTTCCTGGGATTACTTAAGGTCCTGATTTTGTTCTTATTTAGCAAAGGGGAGATAAATCCCTCTGACTCCCTCTCCAGCCACACTATGATCTATTTTTCTTTTTTTTTTATTAATTTATCACACTAAGTCTTCTATAACACGATGTTTTTTTCCTATTTCTCTGTCTTCTTCCTTAGAAACCTAAACTAATACCTATAATTGACTAACAGTCTCCTAATTTTATGTCCTAGTATATATTGTTATGTTAAGTCAAATTTCTTCACCTCCTTCTTGCATATCTCATTTCCTTGTGAATGCAAATAGTTTCTGTAAAATTTTTCCCTAAACATCCAGCTCTCAGCCTCTTTTGTCCCTATAATTGTGCTACCATGGATTTTTTATTTTTATTATTAGCTTGTTGAAACCTTTTCTTAAAGGTCACCTTGCTCACAGGATGTTTTTCCTTTTTCTTAGAATTCGACCAAACTACCAGCTCATGATCCCACTGTCCAAGGTTACCTGGACTCCCTCTCTGCAAGCATAGAATTAAGACTGTTATTGTTCTATCCTTTATTCTTTCCTGCAAAAATTTTCCCCAAGACACTCCAACCATATATTTTCCACTGTACTTTGACCCGGTGTCCTATATTCCATATGGCTAGGAGTAGTAGTCCTTGATTATTTCTCTTCAGGTGACATCCAAGAAGAATATTAAAAACTTGGGTATCTCATCTTTTAAAATTTGTATCTAAAATTTTTTCATCATAATTTTACATACTTGAAGGGATTTAACTTCCCATACATTGTAAATACTGACATTTAAAAAATAAGGCCGTAATATTACTGTTTTAAATGTACCAAATGGAATCTGAAATGTGCCACTGCAATTTGAAGCTCATTATTTTCCATTTACACAAACATGAACAGGCTTTTCTTTAAATGACAGACATTTCACACCCATTCCCCTCAAACTCTTATTTCTATTTTATTTCCCTCTGAGCATTGTTTCTTAATGTATTGTATAGTGATGCTTAAAAATATTCTACTTATCATCTTCTCTCTCTGTAATAAAAATACATTACATCATTAAGTCACCACTTAGTATTAATACACAATTGCTCAATATATCATAAATTAGAAAAAATTATAACTACGGGGCGCCTGGGTGGCTCAGTGGGTAAAAGCCTCTGCCTTCAGCTCGGGTCATGATCCCAGGGTTCTGGGATCGAGCCCCGCATCGGGGTCTCTGCTCAGCGAGGAGCCTGCTTCCTCCTCTCTCTCTGCTTGCCTCTCTGCCTACCTGTGATCTCTGTCAGATAAGTAAATAAAATCTTAAAAAAAAAAAATTATAACTAGCTCTTAGATATAAAAACACACTTCTTAATAACAGGTATAACAAGTTTTTCTTTTTTCTTTTTAAGATTTATTTATCCGAGAAAGAGAACATGAGCGGGACAGGCAGAGGGAGAGAGAGACTCTCAAACAGACTCCCCACCCAGCACAGAGGCTTGATGTGGGGCTCAATCCCACGACCCTGAGATCATGACCTGAGCTGAAATCAAAAGCTGGCCACTTAATGGACTGAGCCACTCAGATGTCCCATGTTTCTTTTCTATAAGTGCAATTATTGACTGAATATTACTTTAGGTTAGAATAAGAATGCATATAGTATCATATATTCTTCAGTTCCATTCCTAGCTTTCATCTTTAAAGAAATGTTTGCATAAATGAGACAGAAATAGCTATGTTACAGCAATGACTTAATTCTTTGAACACTAAGGTCATTGACAAAATCATAGTCATCTATCATATTACATAATGCTTAATGATCTACCAGCCAACACTCAATCAGATTCTACTTTAATTTGGTTGGAAGCAAATAATTTCACCATAGCCATCATGAGAGTTACCTATCATTAGAGTCATTTGCTTTCATGGTTTCTCAGCACTACAGCAAAAAAGGCTTCACCGAGACTTTCCAAAGGACTATTATTTATAGCCTTCCACTTAGAGGGACCTTTTCTATTTAAAATACTCAAGCAAGGGCTGGAAAATTTACCTTAAGTAATGTAATTTTTTTATAAATTGGTTTTTTTTGTCTCTCACTCCAAATATATTTGTGTCAAAACCTTGGGCTTACAGATATACAGTATTGTTTGTGGTAAATGTCCATCATGTAGCCTAACTGGCAAAAACAGTCATTACAACACCAGTTGGCCAAATCAGGCTTCTTGTGTCGGCTCAAATGAACATATTATGATGCAGCCCCATGACAACCATCTCACTTCTGAATTCAGAAGATCAAAACAGGCTACCATACCCCACTTTTAATGCCACGTTCTGTTCCTCACAGAAATATGTGGAAGACAGACAGCGATATGAAGCCCCACTCCAGATCTATGATGCCTCAATTGAAGGAGACTTTGCTGACACCAATATATTAAATTTTTTCTTTATACAGTACCTCAGAGATGTGGACACCGGGGGCAGAGTAAAATTCTGATGTAGGTGAGACATTCATTTTTATTTTTCAATGAGACGACAACTGAAAGGGGAGGAAGGGTGAGGAGAACCAATTTGACACCTTGAGCCCTGGTGTATTCTCAGACAGATAAACTATAGGCAAGTGTCCAGATGCAAGCTAAGGCTCTGGAAATGATTCTTTTAAAGCCATGGGGCTCAGGAACCCCTTGGAAAGTCTTTGTCTACCCCTAGCAATATGGACACAATAAAACAACTGTGGTTCTTAAGCCATGAAACAAAGTAACTTGATAATGCCTTCTCAGTGCATGATCAAGTCCATATTTCAAAGAGGACCAAACAGATCTGAACTATCTATACTTTTTAAATAAATTTTGCATCACCTACCAAGTAACTACACTTCACACGAAATAACCTAAAAACCTATTTTTAAGTCCCTATTGCAACTCTGTCTTTCTAATCTGAAGAACGTCAGTCTAACTCTTTAGCCCTCCCCTCGCACTCACTGTTCAGCATCATAAATATTATAAACAGAAAGCAGAGAGAGAAAAGTTAAAATTCAAAAGTAGAGCAAGAACAATGCCTCAGCACAGTAAGTACCTCAAAATGCCCTGTGCTGTTTAAAACACATTAGAAATTGAATTTTCTTCAAATAAAGAACTGTGGCCGTCTATAACGAAAGAATAACAGGTTATCTGGAAAAGCCAGTTAAAGTGTGAAGGCCATGTGAACATTCAAAAAGACAAGTTGTCAAGCAGAATGATTTATATATAAAGATAAACACTTCAGTGGAGCTTTGAATTCACGTGGTTTTGAAGGGGGGAAAAAAGATCAGTTTAGCTTTTTTTTTTTTTTTTTTTTTTTTAGTTCCTTGTTTCACGGAGCTGCAATGATACTCACCGCCTCTGTGTGGACAGGGTGCACAGCAAAAAGCAACGCTGTAGCGAAAGCCAGTCCCCGGTTCCTGAAGACAGCTTTGTCACAGGTGTACATCAGGACGAGAGTCACGAGACAGTGCAAAACCACATTCACCGCATGAAAGTAGAATGGGTTCATGCCAGTCAAAAATATGTTCAGCCTGTACAAAAAGACAGAAACAGAAGCCGAATCAGCTACATACAGAACAGAAGCACAAGGAGAGAGGAGGGAATCAATCATTTTGAAAGATAAGCTGTTCAATCGATTCTTTTTAAATGACTCCCAACAGCAGGTTACTACTCTAGATGTGGGAGTATCATTTTTCCCCATCTCAGGATGTTCCTATCTGCAGAAACCATTGCAAATGTACTGTAATTTTATTTCAGAGAACTCTGTTGGCCTCACTGACAAGGCAGGCAAAGAGGTGCGGAACCTGTTTTCCCTTTAGTCCATGGCTCATGTGAACGACCCCATGATACTCTTGCTATCGCTGCCGGCTCTTCCCAAAGAGCTGAGCCTTCAAAGACTAGTCCACAGTGCTATGGGTCAGAGCCACAACCACTGGAGAGGAGAATAAAGCCACAAGACTGTGACTGCAGTCACAGTTGGGACAAACCAAGCCATGAACGTGTTCTCTCACCCGCAGTGCCCCCCAAGAGCCAAATTTCCAGATTATGCACCTGGAATGATCGTTAATTACCACTCCACAAAGGATCTTCGGGGCATCTGAAGATGCTATTACCAGCTGCAGCTGAAATTAAAAGGATGAGCAAAAGCACATCGTTTCAGAATCTGTATTGAATGTTTTCTAACTTAAATTCCCACAGACCTCAAAATTTGAATGCTAAGATTATGACAAAAAAACTAAAGTCAATCACAGAAAGAAGGGAAACTCATGGGACACCGGGACGGCTCCGTCAGTTAAAGTGCCCAACTCTTCGTTTTAGCTCAGGTCATGATCTCAGGGTGGTGAGATCCTGCCCCTGCAGGGTCTCTGTGCTTAAGATTCTCTCTCTCTCTCTCCCTTTCCCTCTGCACCCCCAACCCCATTTGCACGCTCGCACCCTCTCTCACTCCCTCTAAAAAAAAAAAAAAAAAAAAAAAAAAAAAGGAGAGGGACAAATTTATTGTTCAACACCTTAAAAAATACTTTCCTGAGATAGAAATGCAGAACAGAGAGACTTAAGGTTGCCTTAAATTTAATAACAGGACATAATGTCCTTAATTGATTCTGCGGGGTTAGCAAAAATATAGTTGTATAGGGAGCACCCTAAATGGGACTGCCTGTAGTTGTCTATACTCCAGCTCATTTCATTGAAACAGTAATCCCTAGATCTGCTTCTCTTAAAGAAACACCTTCTCTTAGCCAAAACAATTGAAAATGCAAAAGTCAACTTTAGCGATGGCATAAGCATATTCTAAATACTTGACTTGAGTCGTGCACGAATTTAACCTACAGAATTTTAAACATCTCAAGTTTTATTTGGACACATGAATATAAATGTCATAGTTACTGACTCCATTTTCATTCCCACTGAAGTAATCAAGCCTAGAAAAATGAATTGCTTTGTGGAACCTGACTTCAGGGCTCCGAAGCAAGACTCCAGCAAGCCGTATGATGGCCAACCCACAAGTCTGTGCACACCCCCCAGAGTCCTGAAGATGGAAGCATGGTGTGAAACACCCCATCTAGAACAATGGGCCATGAACTAGGGGGTGGGCAGGTCCGGCTAAAAAAGAAAGAAGATATCCCATTCCAGTACGAGAGGACCCACCTGCGGTGAGCAAGCTGCTGAAAATCACCAAGATCGGGCGGGATGGGGGAGCTGTGAGAAGGGCAAGACCAGGTCCCTATCCTTGAAGAACTTAGGCACAATTCCCAGAGAGCCCACCCACCTAAGCTGGTTTTACATCAGTGTCTACTCCATCAGGCTAAGCTTTCCAGACCAACTAAGCCATTCATTCCAAGTTCATTCACACCCATGACAATGAGACAAAACAGGCAAACTTACAAACAGCTGGTGAGTGTCCAAGAGGGAAGGTCTCAAGCTTATCAATGTGTACCAAAAGGCTTTAAGAAGTACATAAACATTGACCAAAAATTCCACTTCCAGGAATTTTCCATAAGGAAATAACCAGAAAACTGTTCAAAGATAGATACAGATAGATATAGATACAGATACAAGTATATAGACATAGATAGACAAATGTAACATTGTGATATAATAAGAAATACATATTTCGGTCTTTATACCAACTCCTGGCAGAGACTCTAAAACCTCTGTAATTTCTTCAGTCATAAAGGTACTAGGACAATCTTTTGTTCTAGTATTTGGTCTTTGGCGCTGGTTCCTGACACAGAACTCCTAAATCCCTCAGAACTCCCCAAGTGGTTGGATTATCTTTTTTCTAAGAAGGTGACTCTTGGTGGGCTCCTGGATGGCTTCTGGATGTGGGCTGGTCTCCCGAAAGATCAAGTTATGATTAGAAGCTTGGAACTTTTAGCCCCTTCCCTCCTCTATCCTCCAGGTATTGGAGGAGGCCAGAAATGGAGGTCATTATCAGTGATGCCTACTTGATGAAGCCTCCATAAAAACTCCCTGAACCACAGGGTCTGGAAAACTTCTAAGTTGGTGAACACACCACCAAGCTGGGCAGACGGCACACTGCAGTTCCACGGGACAGAAGCTCCCAAGCTTGGGGCCTTCCAAACCTCACCTTAAGGATCTCTTCAACTGGCTGTTCATCTATATCTTGCGTCATACCCTTCATTCTATAACAAATCAGTAAACATTAAATAAGTGCTTCCTTGACTTCTGTGAGCCATTAGAGCAAATTACTGAATCTGAGGAGGGCATCATGAGAACTCCTGATTTGCAACTAAGCTGGACAGAAGTGCAGTAAGCTAGGGACCCACTACTTGCAACCAGCGTCTGAAGTGGGTTAGTCGGGTCACCTGGGTGGCTCAGTCGGTGAAGCGGCTGCCTTTGGCTCAGGTCATGATCCCAGGATCCTGGGATCAAGTCCTACATCGGGCTCCCTGCTCAGTGGGGAGCCTGCTTCTCCCTCTGCCTCTGCTGTTCCCCCTGCTTGTGCTCTCTCTCCCACTCCTCTCTCTCCCGTTCTCTTTCTCTCTCTATATATATATTAAATAAATAAATAAAATCTTAAAAAAAAAGAATTGAAGTGGGGTCAGTCTTGTAGAAATGGGCCTTTGACCTGGGGGATCTGGTGCTAACTCCAGAAAGAGTTAAACAGGACACCCAGATAATGTAGGACACTGAGAACTGATCACTAAAAAATAAAAACCCTACACATCTGGTGTCAGAAGCATTGAGTGTTAGTAGAAGAATAGGACCTGCCTTTTTAACATACAAGATGCATCTTACATTAGGGAATGTATTTGACTGATTTCACAGATATTACACTTTAGATCATCATTTTGGATTACAAATTAACAGCACTGCCTTTAAAAAGAGAACAAAATACTTGTTATTTTTTCCAAAATATTGTTATTCAACCATTTGAAAAGTAAAAAAGCATCATTAAAAGTGTTGCTAGTATATTGCCACACTTTTTGAGGTACTTTCCCCTTCCAAAAATGATACAAAATGAGACCCATTTGTGGTCCATATGTATCCTATCTGAAAATATGCAGGAGTTATCTATATAGAGTACTGCGGGGGGTGGGGGGGTGGTGTTTTATTTGAATAGAGTTGACACACAATGTTACATTAGTTCCAAGTGTACAATTTAGTGATTTGACAAGTTTATACATTATGCTATATTCACAAGTATAGCTGTCATCAGATTAATATTCCTGAAAACCAGTTAGGACAAAATGCCTGGTGTTTTAAGTGAATTCAATTGGATATCAAAATATAAAAATAAATTACTGAATGGGGAACGACTGCAGTGCTAATTAAGGTAACTGAAAGGCCCTCACACAGTACTAGATACTGGTGAATCTAAGCCCTGAGAAATGAATGAGAATCTAAAATTACTAGAGTTTCCCAAATATCTAAAGAGATAGAGAGTGAGCTCTCCAAACTATGGACAAGTGAGCTTGAGAGGAAATAATAACAAAACGCTATTTGTGAGCAGTGGAAAGAGAATCTCTGATTCTTTTATGGGTTCACAAAAAGGGGGTTTAGCGGATTAACCTCACATTTTAATAGAACGGAGTGTGACAGACACATCACATCTTTATTTTAACAAAAAGACATTAATCAAAATCTTTCAGAATCTCCTTATGTACAAGATACAAGAATATGGATTTGTGGCAAATACAAAGAGTGGTGAATAATAACCAGGGTCTCCTTAAATGGAGACCTTCAGTGTAAGTCACAAGATTCTGACATTATCTCTGGTCTGTCCCATATTTCTATCAGAAACTCAGCGAGATCTGTAGCATATGCTAACCACGCTTGCAGAAAGCCTACATCTGTGAAAGAGGGTCCACTTGACTGGCAGACTAAGATTCACAAAAAGTTTAAATGCTTGCTATTGTTAATTAATTCTTACAGGATTAGGTAGAATATGGGTTAGAGAAAAGTCCCACATCTGGACATAAAAGAGAACAAAATACTTGCAATCCAGGCTAAAGCTATACACATAGTATTGTCCAAGGGCTGTCAGTTTATGCTAAACTCGCAGAGTTATTGCGTCTTGGCTATCAAACACACCAAACTGCATTAAGCCAAACTAATTTTCATTTCAATTCACTCTAACAGATATTTATTGAGTACCTACTTCATGTCAGGTATGATGTAGGGCCCAGAGATACAAAGAGAAGACATGGCATCTGCTACCAAAGAGCTGACAGCATTATAGGAGAAAGAGAGACACTGACAGATAATAGTGAAAGCTAGCAATGGGACAATCTACCAGGGCAGAGACAGGAAAGAGGGAGGTATTCTGGTGTGTGCCGGAGAGGGTATCCAACAGGGGGCAGCAGCCCCTCCAGGTGCTACTTTAATGCTGGAGCACCTTCCTAGGAGAGTCCCAAAATGCTGGAAGAGTGGGGAGTCTCAAAAATGATGTCTCAGGGGCACCTGGGTGGCTCAGTGGGTTAAAGCCTCTGCCTTCGGTTCAGGTCATGATCTCAGGGTCCTGGGATAGAGCCCCGCATCGGGCTCTCTGCTCTTCGGGGAGCCTGCT